AGTTTAACCCCGCTGATATGGGAACTAAGTGCTTACCTGTTGAAAAATTCAGATCGTGCATGAGAACTTTGAACTTTGATTCGTGTGATTGATGTGCTTGTAATTGTTGTGTGATCAGGTAGTGTTCTATGTATCTGCTGCCTGTTGTTATACTTGTGCTAACTTCATGAAAAGTACAGGTGTAGTTAGGCAATGATGAAAGTCCTCCGGCCCCTCAAGGTGTCCGGTAATCGATGGTGGGCAAAATTCAGTGGAGAAATGTTGGGATATTTGTCCCAAAACCACTTACCTTATCTCAGGTCCAAGGAAGTCTTGGCCCGGTTCCCGTCTAGGCTTGGCCCTCTTACACACAAGTGATGGCAGGAATTAATTTGGACCCTTGGATTTAGGGAATAAATCCACACCATCCATCCTACACCTTAAATACCCTCTCACACCACTCTAACCCTAATCACTTAACACTCTCTATCTCTCGCTGCTGCTGTGCCCTATTCTCTCTCTCTCTGTGAGACGAAAAATACCGATCGATCTCTCATTCACTCTGTTAGTTCTCTGTGACCTTTTAGAGTGTGTGAGAGCCGACCTTCGTTGTGTCTTCACTGTGCCACCGCGCCGTCGCCCTGCTCAACCCGCCGGCTAAAGCCCTTGTGTGGGGCCTCCTGCGATTCTCAGCGTGAGAGGAGGGGTTAGGCGACGGAGTGGTCGGGTGCATGGTCGTGTGTAAGAGGTGCAGCCAGGGGAGACGACCGAGGAACCGGGGCTGCCGTTCGTTGACCGCCACCGAGCCGTACTTACCGAGGGTGTCGGAAAAGAAGGACGATCTGAGCCGGACTTTGTGTCCCTCGTCTCCAGTCGTCGGTTAAAGGGGGTTTTCTTGTTCCTCTCTCCTTTTATTTCTTATTTCCTTATTCCGAGCATTTACCTTGTATTTTCAGCTCCATTGTTGTTCATTACAGTAGGTTTATTGTTATTAACCTCAGTATTTTGATTGCGACTGAATAGGTACGAAAAGGAGCTGAAACGAGCGAGTAAAGGAGAGCTGGGATCAGCCCAGGCTAAGAAGAAGGTTGTCCGGGAGCCCCTGTACACGAGCAGCACTCCAGCAGGCCTCGAAAGCGAGCATTGCGGTTAGACGAGCAAAGAGACGAGCTTCCGCTGCGTAAGAGTAAGCGGTGGGAACGGGACGGCCACTTAACAGTACATATATATATCATTTCTTTACATAAACACATATAATTAAATTAAAATAATAATTATATTTTTCTTTCAATTATTAATTCAACCACAATTATATTCTTTATGCACTTTTGTATAATTTTTTTCTAGATTAAATAAATTGAACGTACAATAAATAAAAAATATGTTTAATGAAAATAAGAATTATCAAAACTATTAATATTGAGTGAATCGTTGATGAAACTCATGAGTTGAAAGAACGTTCAGTCGAAATTTATTACGGTTTGGAACTTATATAATTTAATCAATACTGTTATTATTATTATATAATAATTTCAAAATACAAATTTTATAATTTGTATCGTGCTGTTATTACTATATATCTATTTATAACCCATCTTCTTATTTTTATGTTCATTAAATCAAATATATGATTGTTAAAAATATATAGTCCCCTCAAAATAAATTTCTGGATCCGCCCCATATAGGTTCTTTCTGTACACCCCATCCTCCAACACTTTTTAATTTACACTTTTTTTTTTGGTACAGGGACCTTCCGGTTTCTGGATCCACAGATGAACCGACTAATCCGGAATCGTGTCGGGTAGGACCACAAGGGCGGTAAAGCTCTCCCTCAAGAGTTTTAACACTGCTGCATTCCCAGGGCTCGAACACGAGACCACTGGTTAAGCTAGAAGAGACCCAAGCCATCTCATCCAAGCGCTCTTGGTTTTTTAATTTACACTTAAGTGATATATATCACCTTTTTAAGTGATATATGTTGTATGTCCTTAAATGCATTTTCCTAAAAAAATAAATAAAAAAAAAATAACTTTTAAGTGCAAGAGTGAAGTGTGAACCATAAGGCCACCTTTATCCGTGACCCAATGGGAGGGGAGGGGTCACGGAATTAAAAAATAAAAAAAAAAATTAAAACAAAAAAAAATAAAAAAAAAAAAGGAAAAGGGCACTGATGCGCGCGACCCAGGTCACATTGTGACCTCGGGTCGCAACCGGTTTTTGTACCGAAATGGGACACTTGTTCCATTTTTATTGCACAAGTGTATTTTTTTGTATCTAAAAAAAATAAAAAAAATATCAAAATTCGTATTTTTTCATTCTA